AATGATGGTTCTTTTATTATTACAATGTCAAGCCTGTAACAATAAAAACCCTTTTTGCTATATCGACCCCTTTTCAAAATGGTTCTATATAGAACCATATAAAACACATTCTCCATCAATCTGAAGAACTCTCTCGATACAAAGAACCCTTTCCTGCAAAGGGTTCTTTGGGTGTTCATGGGTCTATACAGCACCATTTTCTTCACTAAAGAACCCTTGGAGAACCATCTTTTCAAAGTGTGTGGACAAACTTATTATAAATTTACTAACTCGTTGCACAGCTATTTTGAGTTTGTTCAACTTTTTGTTCATGGATTACCTTTATTCTAACAACCCTACAAGAAAATCAACTTGTTCTATGCAGACACTCCCTGAGCACATTATTAGGTACAGCTGCCTTGTATCTTTGATCATTTTTCAATTAATCAGACCTATTTAATAAATAGGTCCCCGTTATAGTTCTGCAATTGCAGATTGTACTTAATCTGTTACTTCATTAACTCACTTCCATTAGTGATCAGGACTTGTTTCATTCACTGCACTGCAGTCACACTGACATATAGTGGTACAGGTACTAGTCTATAAGCAATGTTTTTACACACTTCAGTGTCAGTGTTTGACTAAGAATAGTCCACCAGCCACAAGCATCCAGCCAACAGCGTCCTGTAGGCAGCGTCTTGTGACCACTGATGAAGGACTAGAGGATGACCAACACAAACTGTGCAGCAGCAGATGAGCTATCGTCTCTGACTTTACATCTACAAGGTGGACCGAAAAGGTAGGAGTGTCTAATAGAGCGGACAGTGAGTGGACACAGTGTTTAAAAACTCCAGCAGCACTGCTGTGTCTGATCCACTCAGACCAGCACGACACACACTAACACACCACCACCACGTCAGTGTTACTGCAGGGCTGAGAATGATCCACCACCCAAATAGTACCTGCTCTGTGAGGGTCCTGACAATTGAAGAACAGGGTGCAGAGAAACAGATGGACTACAGTTTGTAACTGTACAACAAAGTGCTCCTATATGGTCAGCGGAGCTGATAAGATGGACCATGGGTAGTTACAAGGAGGTGGACTTCATAAAGTGATAATTAAGTGTACATTACAGACCCCTAGACAGATGAAAGACAGATAATTAAATTTGGAAAAAAATATAAATAACAAACTGCAGGTACAAGCAGTTCTGGCAAAGCCTCGTCTGGCGACACCTTGTCCAGAGGCCCTGGGACCACAGTCTTAAGGAGGGATACATGAAATGAGGGTGAGATATGGAACTGAGCGGGTGGATTAGGTCTGTATGTGACATCGTTGATTTCCTTAACAATCTGGAAAGGACCAATGTACTTAGGTGGATAACAAAGCCCGGTCTCCTGGTTGAAAAGAGGGGTCTCCCTACAACACCTGTCAGCTTGTTCTTTTGCATCATCAAGCGCCGCCTCGATGCTGTAATGATCCTGTTCCCAGACCTCCTTGCTGCATCTCATTTAATCGTCAATGGCCAGGATGTCAGAAGGAGTAGCAGTCCAAGGTGTGGGAGGGGGCTAATAATGCACTGAAAAGGAGTCATACAAGTGGCAGAACAGACCAGAGAGTTCTGGGCTGTTTCAGCCCAAATTAAAAACTGTGACCAACCTGCAGGGTTTATATGACAAAATGCACTAAGAAATTTTACTAACTCCTGATTGACCTGTTCATATTGCCCATTAGATTGTGGGTGATGACCGGAGAGGAGACTGATGTTGATGCCAATGTGTTCACAGAAACCAGACCACACTCTAGATGTCAAATGAGAATCTCTATTGGACACTATATTTTCAGGTATACCAAAATTATGGAAAATGTGGTTATACCGTGCTAAAGCAGTGTCAAAAGCATTGGATAGTGATTTAAAACCTAGCATCTCTTGAAAAACAGTCTACTATAGTCAGAATAGTTGTAAAACCATCAGCTGGGGGTAAAGCAGTGACTAAATCAACAGCAATGTGTGACCATGGACGGGTCTTAGGTGCTTTGCTTTGAGCACATACTGACCAGGACAAGACAAACTTGTGTATATCTTGTTTTAGAGTTACGCACCAGTTGCGTTTTTTAGAAGTTGTTGTGTATGGAATTCACCAGGATGACAGGAGGTAAGAAAGGAATGAGCCAAAGTAATCAGATGGTTATAAAATTAAACTGGTATGTACAGTTTATTCTGTGGACTGCTGTATGGGATGTTACAATTTTCTAGGGCTCTTGTAATCTCATCAATCTTCCAGCAAATGGAGGTTATTTGGACAAAGGGAGGAAAAAGAATCACAGAGGAGTTTTTGACAGTGCCTCAGCCTTAGAATTACGTGAACCAGGATGATAAGAAGTACTGAACTAATAAACAGGAGAAGAAAAGGGCCCAGCGAGCCTGTCGAGGGTTTAACCACCTGGCAGAATGGAGGTACTCTGAGTTCTTATGATCGGTTAGAACTAGGAAAGGATAAGCAGCTCAATCTAACCAATGACTTCAATCCTCCAATGCGAGCTTAACAGCCAGGAGCTCCCGATCACCTATTCTATAGTTCACCTCTTCCGTTGTTCTGCAGGGGTCAGTTTGTGTGAGTAGAAGGCTACTGGGTGAAGTTTCTCAGGGTTACCACTATGCTGGGACAGGATTGGACCTACTCCAGTTTCCAAAGAATCCACTTTTACTACTAATGGTTTAGAAGAATCAGGTTGAGAATAGGTGCTGAAGTAAATGCAACCTTGAGACTGTGATAGGCAGTCTCTGCTGCTGGGCTCCAGTCCAACCTTTTGGACGCTTCCTTAAAGCAGTGAGAGGTGAGGCAAGTTTGCATTTGTGGACTAATTGAGGCCCAGATGACGTGCGTGTCTGAGAAAGTGTGTGTGTGTGTGTGTGTGTGTGTGTGTGTGTGAGACAGAGAGAGAGAGAGAGAGAGAGAGACAGAGAGAGAGAGAGCAGCTTTAATCACTTTATTTACCTGTACAGGTATGTAGCATCCCCAGTGCCTGTTGTTGATGTTGAAGATGGGAAATAGTGAAAAATGTGAAATAATAAGATTTCTTTGGGGACTATTTTAAACACCCTGAACACCCTGAATCTATCCCTCCACTATGAATTGATTAAAATGGATTAACAAGACGTTTTAGACCAAAATGTTATCACAAAACTATCATAAAACAGTGTCTCAGTCATCAGACAGTACATTTATAACCATTTCATGTAGTAACTTTCGGTGAGGGAGCTTTAAGAGGTGGACGTCTGGTTCCTATCACCACCACTGTGAACAATTCTGACTCTAAGTTTCTCAAGGACGGATCACACCAAACCACTCTGAATGACTCTGTTCACATCTTAATTGTGTAGAAATTAAAAAAAAAATGGTGGAGTTCCCCTTTAACATTGAATATATATGTATAATTTAGTGATGAATACGTTTTAGCATTTGTTCTATTTTCACATGTAATATCTGAAATCTACTTTTGCTGAACCGTGAGCTAACTGTATTAGAGAGAGCTACATGTGAGCTGCAGAGCTTTAATCATTTATTCATCTGCTTGTACAGCATCACTCATATTAAAGAGAGCAGCCAACAGCAGTTATGGTTGAGTCCTTCCTCCACACAGCACAGCACACAGAACACAACTCAGATTACTTACCGGTTAACAGACGTGCAGCTGGCCAACATTAACACCACTGGAAAATACACACACACTCATTACACAAGCAGCTCACAACATGTGACCCGATGCATTAAAGTTTCATCATGTAAAGCCAGAAACTGCTGTGGATTGAAGGGTTAAAAAGCTGGTTTACTAGTAAATTATGGATAATAACTGCTCATTTCATTTTCTGAGGTTTTTCATCAACATTGTGAGCATTTTAAAAATGCACAAGTTGCAGAGTCAACACCCCACCCAAGGTCTGTTACACAATATTGCGCAATTTAAAAGCAGTTTCATTTTGAGTAGTTTGGCTCCCATCAATCCATGTTGATGTCACCTAGCAAACAGGGAAACTGTTTGTGGGCTCTTCACTCCGCCCGTGCCTCGTCCTGTCATCCCTGGATCCAGACCTCCAGCACGTTCTCTGAATTTATGTTCTTGCTCAATTCTTGGGATCTTGTCCTGATTATCTGTGAAGTTAAAGCCTTCTGTCTGTTGGAAGTTGCTTCAACCCAAAGAGTTTAGTACATTTAGTATTTTTAAAGAGCCCATATTGCTGAACACCAAATTTCCTTCTCTTTTTTTAAAAAAAAAAAAGTCTGTTTGAATTCACCGTTTGTGACATTAGAATCAGCTCATTTACATATATCCACCTATTCTGCTTATAGCGGTTTAGTCCCGCCCATTCATATTGAAGTTTTAAGCATTTTGATTGAGGCACAGTACAGGACTTTTCAGTCGGCAGCTGTGACAGAAGAACAGCTAAACAACCTGGAATCAGCCAGAAATGAACCCAACACCATTCGCCAAACTAAATGGGCTGTAAGATGCTTTACAGACTGGCTGGAACAAAACAACATTAATACTGATCTGGCAAAAACTGACAAAACTGAGCTGAACTTGATATTGCGGCTCAGTCTGATTTGGTCCGACTCTGAAGATCAGACTACACGTTTGGCGAATGGTATTGGGTTCATTTCTGGCTGATTCCAGGTTGTTTAGCTGCTCTTCTGTCACAGCTGCCGACTGAAAAGCTGCTCAGTGGTGATGACAGTTTGGGAATTTAGTGTAAGGAGCTGGAGAACGAACTGCCGGCTGTGCAGCGATTGGGCAGTAACACTGACAGTAACACTTCTTTTTCAGCTGTGTGGACTCTACTTCTAATACGTTCTCTGAAGAAGAAGAAGAATAAACTGTCTGTAAAGGTTCTCAGGAAATATTTCCTACTTTGGCACAACTCACTCAGACCGAAACTGAAACAAGCACTGTATCCAGGCCATCTAACATCTGTTTGCTGTTAGGGGCTGAGTGGGCGGGGCCATAGTGGATACAAATCTGCGCCACTTTCTCCTCTGCAGCTCTTTCTGCTGAGAAAGTTCAGCTCTTCATCATCTGCGCTCAGAAACTCCTCAGACTCCTTCAGCCATGGTGAGATACAGCCTCTGATTTTTCTCTATACTCAGGTTCTGCTGACCGTTATTCTGTTTTAATAGAATGACCGTAAATACCCAAACATTACTGCCATCCTCTCCCTCGTCATTAAGCTTAGTAAATACTGCAGAATTACAGAATTAATGGTGAACATAAAAAGAATGTACTGGAGGCAGAAGTGAAAGTTATTCTGAAGCAAGAAGTGTTTTAAAGCAGAACTGTTCTATTTGGTTTGTTGCTGTCAGGACAAAACCATATCTCTATTTTTCTTTTTTCATTGTTTTACATTGTCTAAAAATGCCAACTGCCCTTTACATGGTTTCAAGAAAAAAAATTAAAAATGTCAAAAAGTTTAAGATGAATGTACCTACAGAAATGATCCAAATTTCTTGGAATAAATCATTTCTAGATTAACTTTCAATTCTTGTAAACTTAACTTTCTGGTAATAAGGGGTTTCATTTTTGTGGCATAGACGAAGCCCCCCACCCTCCCCCACCCCCCAAGTGATTCAATAGGAACAGTGTGTTCAGGGTATTATAATAGAACTGCAGTGCATAAACACCTTGTTATGAAGACAAATGACTATCTGAGAGGTCAGTGGTGTACACACCGTCAGCACTGGTCTACAGAGATGTGATCTGGTCAGGTTGCCATCATTCTTTCCAAGTGCATGTGTGGCGTACACTGAGAGAAGAGCACAGACCGGAATATTCATTACCATGATGATAGTGGCGCTCATAGAGCCACCGTTTGTACAGTGTTAGTTAATAAAGCATCCTGACCAATAAAATATAGCCATGGTGAGCTGCGTGTTTGATGGCTGAAATAACATCAGCAACCAAAAAATAAATGCTGTGAGATTTTATAGCAACCTTTTATAGTCTGACGTTGTGAGGGGAAAGACATGGAAGAGCTGAGTCAGCCAAGGGGAAATAAGAATAACATTAGAATAATAGAAATAAATAGGAGAAACTTTCAGGATCTGAAGCATAACATTACCTATGTCTGCTCTCATCAGTCTGTCACAGCTAGACAGTCAGGAGAAGAAGGAGCTCTGGAGGTTTGATCACTTTTAGTGATATTGGTTGATGACTGACTTGCAGGGTAACTATATATTTTACATCTACTCTGCTTTAGCTCGACAATGAATGCAATTCATGCCAGAGCTCACGTTAGTTTAATGTAACCCTATCAAACACAGATGTTAATGTTAGTTGATGGATATATCACTGTTGTCGGAACAAAACCTCATATCTCCAAAATGATAACTTTACAGGAGAAGAAAAAAACCTACTTTACTTTTAATGTAAGTCAATGGAACCAGAGTTTTTTCCAAGTAATCTTTGGCCGTTTCTTTTTGTCCAATCATCATGAAATTTACACACAATGTAAAGGACAACAGGCATTTTCAAATTGTCAAAAACTGAAAACGACAAAACTGGAGATATCGCTGCTTTTGGAAAAAACCTCATATGATTCTACTGATTTGTATGCTGTTAACTCCTGCAATGTGCACACTGATGCAGTATTTAAGGTAGTTTGTGGGTATCTGGATGTTATTGGGACCCATAATGCATAATTGTGAGTCAAAGATAACATATTGATTTTGTACCAAGCAACACCTCCAATCAAACTGACTTTATCTTAATTTGGAATTCATACCTAACATTGATCATACATATTGTGTCAATTGAATGTCAACAATATGGCTGTGGGATGCGTCTTCTAGGTTACCCGAATACTATCTTTACCTGGTCAATCCTGGGATTGGACCCCACAACATCATTAGAGATCAAATAACTCCATACACGTAGGGCCAGAGAAACATCAATACATTACCAGGACAAACCCTTAGAAGTACAATAAGTGCTTCTCTGCTGTGGGATTGAATCCTGTTCTCCCATGTGGGGGACAAGTAACTTAACCATTAGGCTAAACAGCCAATTACAAATCACACACGTGCAGTTCAAGTACTCCTCCAATCTGAACTACAAGCCCATAAATCTGCTTCAAACATGAGGATTGTTCTCACACAGTGTTGTGTCATGAAATCTGACAGCTTGTTTGATACATGGTATTTTATGTGGATATCATACAGCATACAGCCTTAGTATGTATGTATGTATGTATGTATGTATGTGTACATGTATGTACTCAATGTTTATGTATTTAGTAGAGGGTGATCATGTGTGTTTTGGTTAGGTGTGTTCTAGAGTGCTGGTGGGACTCTTCCTGCTCTCCGTGCTCTCTTCTGCAGTCGAGATTTCTGACCCGCTCATGTCGTCTGAAATCGATGTTCACGAGAGGCCTATAGACAAGGCTCTCCGGAATCTCCCACAGATCATCAGTTTTCTCAACAAAAAGTAGGATACAGAATTTAATTGTCAAGTTAAATGTTACATCATGAATCAAATGTTGATGTCTGTGATGTGTATTATGTCTAACAGGAGGATCATGCAGTTTTCATGACAGCATTGTACTGTTTATCAACTACAACATGAACAGAACTTGAACAGAGCCTTTAGAGTAGGCTGACCTGGTCAACGGTACTGCTAGAAAACTGAATCTCAATCTGATTTGAACCATATAACTGCAGAACTGTCTTCAGATCATCAATACATTGAATCACTCCAAAAACAGAAATTAGTCATCCAATGAGAAAGATGACGAGCTGAAAGCTAAAGTTAGCAAGGTAGCTATCTATCTATCTAGATGCCTAATGTCAGTTTGGTTTATTTTCTGACTCTCATGTCCATGTTTGCTAAATAAAGATAGCATCACTCTCTTCTTTATGTTTTTGTTGGACAGCCGAGGTGAGGGTTATGCTAATGCTAGCATGCCTATAGCCAAGTGGCTAGGCTAGCAATCATGTTTGGTTTCCGTAATGCGTGCTAGTCATACTAGGTAGTGTAGTGAGAGAACCCTGATGAACCAAAACATGGCAACTATGTAAAACAAGAACATGTACAACACAACATAACATATTAAACTTGAAGTGCATTTCCTGAAAAAATGCAGAGGGATTGTGCAGCTTAACCAGTTCTATGCCTGTTGCTAGGGTGTTTTAGGATGTTTACTATGGTGGTTTAGGTGGTTCCTAAGGTGTTGATAACCGTTGGTTATGGCTGTTTGGTTGCTAGGTGGTTGCTATGGTATCACAAGTGGTTGCTAGGGTGTTGCTAGGCAGTTACTATGGTTTCTCTGATGGTTGACAGGGTGTTAGTAGGTTGCTGCTATGGTAGCTCCACAAGTTTGATAAGATGTTTTCATGAACTTTTATCATTATACAAACTTTTGCTCCTTATTCATTCCTATGTGTCATCATTTGACATTTATTGTGATAAAAGCTGTCTACAAGCCCACCATTCCCATTTCGATATTAATGAGCTTTAAATGATTAAGTTTTAAATGTCTGTGTTTATGCAGAGCTCCTTTAAAATATTAATGTACACCACTGCTAGCTTGGTGCTAACATAATAGTACATAGGGGTGCTAGAAGAAATTAGCATGATGGTAGTATTGTTGTATAGCAGTATAATCAGCTGAAAGTACATGTTATATAAATTATGTAACTAACTGGTGATGGTCACTATGGTCATTTCATTGAGATTAACATGTTTTTGATTTTTTGTTATAAATTTAACTTTGTCGTTTTCAGTTATTTGGTCGGCGATCAGTTCGCTGTAGCCATCAACGTCCCAGCTGAGAAGTGTTCCACTCGTGTGAAACCTGATCAGAGCTTCCTCCCAGATGATCCTGCACTGAAAGTGAAACGTGCCATGAACAGACCTGCTAGGGTTTACAGAGGGCGGAGGATAATCGCTGCCAAACAAAAAATGATCAACGAAACGAGCAGCTACCACCCTGAGTACCTTCTGCTGATTCAGTCAAACCCACCAAACACCACCTCGCACGATCCACTGCTGAAGAGCCTCCTGAATAAAGACAAACACGGCTGTGTGGTTTTCTACACCTACAACTCTCCCTGTGTGAAAAGCTGCTCAACAATTGAGGGAGCGGACAGCATCCTCCCCGCCCTGGACATGCTCAGGGACCACAAGGGTCCGAAAGCTTTTGTGTTTAGGAAAGTTTGGAAGCATTATGTGGGTTCCAGTCAGAAGACAGAACACGACGGAGGTTGGCACTGTTTCTCTTCAGGTAGTGGAGCTTTTGTTATGGTGACGTATCAGGACTATTTTCCTCAGCATAAAGCAAATATAAGGGCAGTGAATGCTAAAGTGCCGCTCTACCGCTGTGATGGAGCCCACTGTGACCATTGTGTGCACAGTAACAATGAAGTGGATGTTACATGCATGGGCAATTTCTAGTGGTCAGTGTAATATGGTTTCTTTCTTTTTAGTCCTTTAAGTAAAAACACACAACATACAATTGTGTGTAAAAGCATTCATGATTTGTGCTTTTTTACCTCTTGTCTCTTCTGAAAATGTATAAATATATCTTATATATTTTATATATATATTGTAAGGGCCTAGCCTGTGCCGCTGGCTGCCAGAGGGCGACGGCAGCGAGGCACCACAAGTTCAGGGAACTCCAATTCCCAGAAGCCCATTGGCTGATTAGGCCCAATCCTTCACACCTGAGGTCTCCTCTACTTAAGGCTGTGGCAAACAGCAGCCCTTTGTCACACCTTTGGAGAGGGGTGACCGGTACGGTACTCAGCCCAGGTGGGAATTTAGACAAAAACAAGAGAGAGAAACTGCTTAAAAGCCAAAAAGAAGGCTTGAACAAGAAACGGCTCCAAGCCATACAAAAGTTTTTGCTCCACAAAGAACAAACGGGTGAACCATAAATCTGACCTTCCTCAGACCGCCAATCAGTACCTCAGCGGTTTGGGTCTGGCTCTAAGCCACCTCAACCCCAACGTGCACAATCACTCAATTCACCCTCCATCACCTCAGTAAATTCATTTAAGACCCTTTCTCACGGGTTTTCCTCTCTGCACTTGGGTCCGCCTCCCTGCCGTCCCGTAACACACATTCCATATAATGTTGTTTCTACACTTATCAATAAATACTGGTGCATTTAATTTTATCCAGTTTTCATTATTTATGGAAAATAATAACCTTCGTACCAACCCTTGTGAATATGTGTGTGTCTGAGTTTGTACATAGTCATGTGTTATTGTAGGTGTTGAACTGAGATCAGCCTGTCAGCAGGGCATGAACTCTGGTTCTACTGGTTTCTATGTAGCCAGGCAGTGGCGTAGCCAGAATTTCATTTCGGGGGTTAAGGGGGGCCTAGTTACAGGTTGAGGGGGCAGCTAGGAAACACATCCCAGAGGCGTCGCTATAGTGAGGCTGACACCCATCAGCTATCCTAATTTATTCTATCTAAGTCATTAGAAAAGTGGAAACCTATTACCACAACCAGCTGTTATAGTGACAATGCATTTAACAGCATTGTCACTATAACAGCTGACAGAACACCATGATATAGGCTGATTAATACTGCCAGAGTCCTGTAGTAACAGGGTTGAACACAGATCTTATTCCCCAATAAGCTGATATTACAGCAGTAAAAAAGGGTGAAGTATGCAATATAGAGCAGAAGAGAAAGCTGAACATGTTTGTTCATCAAAACTATATCATTAAATTTCTTGTTTCAAACCATTTTCATTTCAATTGCCTAAAATAAGCAGCATTCAGGAGCCGTTAGCTTGACAGGCTGCACTCTAACTTCTAATAACCAGGTAGTTTACATACATTAGAAAGATATGAATATGAATGTGTGTGTGTGTGTGTGTGTGTGTGTGTATATATATATATATATATATATATGTGTATGTATATATATATATATATATACACACACAAAATAAACAAATAATATACTTTTTTTTTCTCTAACTATAATTTTGGTAACAGTGTTGAGGGGTCAAGCTTTATCTCTGCAGCCAAATGAGGTTTATGTGTGTAAATTAAGAAACTAGAATGAGAAAACTGACCTGTCTGATGGTCATTCTGCAGACAACAAAAAGATATTGCAATGTCCTGTATTTATTGTTATAAATGGAATGCTCCATGTTTTTTTATGGGGGAAAAGGTTTGGGTAACAGGGTTGTGCATAAAATGTGAGACACAGGTTAAATTATGTAGATTAAATAAATTAATAAGAAAAAAATATTTCTTTTAATGTTAAATTGCTCAGAAATGAACCAAATAAAATTGTAATTATGATGTTGCTGGAAGGTTTTAATACATATGTCATGGAGTTCAATGTCAGTGAGGTGGGACAGCCCAAAATGACTATATTAAAGGAGGACACAGACATTTTGTGTTTTTTGATCATTTAAATGCTAATTTCAATAATTTTATTTTAAGTTAAAGTACAGATCCCTTCAATTTTTACAGAAATAAAAAAACAATAGTCACTTTATTGCTTTTAACATAAATTGTACTCTATTCATGGAAAGTCTAGCATGTGTCCATCCGTAGGGTTGGTGCTGACCAATGGCAACATACGGTCATGTAAACATTGCACTGGCGATGAACAAAAGGCAGAATTAGAGTTCACTTTTGTTATTTGAGGTGGAGAAAAAGACAATAGACAGAATTGTGACCAATGTACTGTTAGACTTTCAGCAGAGGTTCCTTCCATGTACTCAACATCACGGAAATCATAGGGTTCTACTCAGGTTCTCCCAGATGGTCCAGATATTTGGCTCTCAAAGTGATAACTGGTGTTCAGAGTTCTTGGTTGAGGAATGTGGACTGTCCAGTTTGAGAACCAATGCTTTTATATGAACTGTGCCCATCAGCACCCACTTTTGAACATAGGTTCTCTGTGCCTTCTTTTGGAGACATGGTGGTACTACAACATGGCAAGAAGAATTTAAATGTACAAGTGAATGTAATGAGGAATTTAAAAAAAGTTTAAAAAGTACAACCATTTCCCAAAAAATTGGGACCCTGTGCGAAAATGTACATAACCAAAATGCAATGATGTGCAAATCATTTCAGCCCTGTATTTAATTCAAAATATTACAAAGACAACATATCAAATTTTTTGGTTGACTGGTAACAGGTCAGTAACATGATTGGGTATAAAAGAGCATCTCAGAGAGGCTGAGTCTTTCAGAAGTAAAGAGAAGGGGTTCACCACTCTGTGAAAGACTGCACCAGCAAATAGTGCAACAATTCAAGAATAACGTTTCTCAACATAAAATAGCAAAGAACTTTTGCTATTATTCATCTACGGTACATAATAACATTAAAAGACTCAGAGAATCTGGAGAAATCTCTGTATGTAAGGGACGAGGCCAAAAACCAGTATTTGCTGGCCGTGATCTTTGGGCCCTCAGGCAGCACTGCATTTAAAACAGTCATGACTCTGTAGTGTAAATCACTGCATGGGCTCAGAAACACTTCAGAAAACTACTGTCTGTGAAAACAGTTCATCACTGCATCCACAAATGCAAGATAAAACTCTAAAACGCAGAGTAGAAATCATATATAAACAGGATCCAGAAGCTCTGCAAACCTCCGGTGCCTGAGCCCATTTAAAATGGACTGAGGCGAAGTGGAAAAGTGTGCTGTGGTTGAAATTCTTTTTGGAAATCATGGACTCCGTGTCCTCCGGGATAAAGACCACTCAGTCTGTTATCAGTGCACAGTTCAAAAGCCAGTATTCATGATGGTATAGAGGGGCATTAGTGCACATGGCATGGGTGACGTGCACATCTGTGATTGATGCTGAATGATGTATACATGTTTTGGCAACATGTGCTGCCATCCAGACGACGTCTTTTTCAGGAAAGACAATGTCAAACCATGTGCAGCATGTATCACAACAGCATTGCTCCGTATTACAAGAGTCCGGGTGCTAAACTGACCTGCCTACAGTCCAGACCTGTCACCACTGATAACATTTGGAGGGTTATGAAATGAAAAATATGACAAATGAGCCCCTGAACTGATGAGCAGCTGAAATCCTATATCAACAAAAATGGGAAAACATTTCACTTTCTAAACTACAACAGTGTCTCCTCAGTTCCCAAATGCTTACAGAGTGTTGTTAAAGAAGAGGTGATGAAACACAGTGGTAAACAGGCCCCCGTTCCAACTTTTTTGGAATGTGTTGTTGGCATCAAATTCAAAATGGGCGTATATTTTTGAAAAAACAATAAAATTTCTCAGTTTCAACATTTGATATGTTGTCTTTTATATTTTCAATGAAATATATGGTTTAAATGATTTGCGTATCATTTGCATTTTGTTTTTATTTATTTTCTGCACAGCGTATCAACTGTTCTGGAAATGGACTTGTAAAAGGGCTCTTCAAGTTTTATTTAGATATGTGTTACTCAGTGTCACATTTGAGTTTGTGTGCAGAGAGAGAGAGAGACCTGTGTACTGCAGAGCTTTAATCATTTTATTTATCTACCTGTACAGGTATGTAGTGTCTCCAGTATCTGCTATTCTTTGTTCACAGCATTCACTTATGTTATGGTGTTTTTACATATTTGTATTAAAGGAAAATTCGACCTATTTTTTAAAATGGTTGATTGTAGAGGTCTTTAGTCTTTACAGTGGTGGTGATAGGAATCAGGGGTCACCATGACTACAACACAAATATAGACATTTTATTTACTAATTATCAGAAAACAGTGTCTCAGTCATCAGGCAGTGAATTCATAACCATTTCATGTAGTAACTTTCTGTGAGGGAGCTTTTAGAGGTGGACGCCTGGTTCCTATCAGCACCACTGTGAACAGTTCTGACCCGATAAGTTTATCTAGAACAAAGTTTCACACCAAACCACTCTGAACGACTCTGTTTACATCTTATGTCCAAATTTTGAAGCCAGCAGCAGTCGAGGTCAAGTCCTTCCTCCACACAGCACAGCGCACACAGAACACAACTCAGGTTAATTACTGGTTAACCGATGTGCAGTCTGGCCAATATTAACACTGAAAAACACACTTGTTCCACAGACAGCTCACAACATGTACTCAGATGCATTATAGTTTCACCATGTAAAGCCAGTCTTAGAGAAACAGTTGTTGATTGAAGGGGTAAAAAGCTGGTTTACTAGTAAATTATGGATTACAACTGCTCATTTCATTTTCTGAGGTTTTTCATCAACATTTTTGAGCATTTTAAAAATGCACAAGTTGCAGAGTCAACACCCACCTAACATCTGTTGCACAGTATTGCGCAATAGAAAGGCAGTTTAATTTGTACTCAGTTTTGGCTCCCATCAATCTATGCAAGTCTCATCCAGCCAACTGGCTTTCTACAGTAGCGCCTATGTTGAGGAAAATGTGCGTTAACTCTTCCCTCCACCTGTGCCTCGTTCTGTCATCCCTGGATCCAGGCCTCCAGCACGTTCTCTGAATTTATGTTCTTGCTCAATTCTTGGGATCTTGTCCCGATTACTGATTTCTCTGTGAAGGCAAAGCCTTCTGTCTGTTAGTTTGCTTTGGCCCAAGATATTTTGTACATTTAGTCTTTAAGGTTCCATATTGCAGAACACCGAATTTCCTTCTCTTTTGTTAAATAAAAACATATGAAGACCTACTGTTCAGTACCCAGTCAGTACACTCTTTATATGTAAACTAAACTGGAAAAATAGCCTGTTTTGAATTTACTGGTTCTGTGATGACATGAGAACCAGCTAATTTACATATATCCACCTATTCCACCTATAGCAGTTTAGTCCCACCCGTTCATATTGAAGTGCTAAGCTTTTTGATTTAGGCACAGTACAGGACAGCCAATCAGAACAGATCTCATTTACATATCATAATTATGTTACTTACAGATGCAGTAACAAAAACAGGCTGTGTAATTGTCAGGCATAAAGAGAGGTTGGAAAATGATCATGTGAAACATATGACTTTCTGGTACATAAAACTACACAAACATCATATTTAATGCATTATATTATAAAATTATTATTAAATACAAGAAAGATCTGGAACACATTGGCAATAACCATCCATCAGGCTCCATCAGTCAATGTTGTGAAGAGTTTCCCTTGTTTTTCTGGAATATTACTCTTTATTTTCTTATTAGTTAAATTTTT